GGTTTAGGGTAAAATTATGGTCCCTTTTTGGGTCCCTATTATAATACGGCACCTAGTATTTAGGGTATCCAAACAGGGCCCATAATTTTGACAACCACCCATATGTTCCCTTGTCCTCAGATAAAGGGGTACCCGGCAAGCATCATGAGCGTCAGCTGGGCTCTTTCGCTTAGATGAAGGGGTACCCGGCAAGCATCATGAGCGTCAGCTGGGCTCTTTCGCTTAGATGAAGGGGCACCAGGCGAGCATCATGAGCATCAGCTGGACCCTTTTGCTGAGATGACAGGGTACTGGGCAAGCATCATGAGCATCAGCTGGACCCTTTTGCTGAGATGACGGCGTGCCGGGCCAGCATCATGAGCATCAGCTGGACCCTTTTGCTCAGATGACGGCGTGCCGGCTCAGCATCATGAGCATCAGCTGGATCCTTTTGCTTCAAATGAAGAGGTACCCTTCGAGCATCATGAGCATCAGCTGCACCCTTCTGCTCAGATGAAGGGGTACCGCATGAGCATGATGAGCATCAGCCAAACCCGCTTGCTCAAATGAAGGGGTACCAGGCGAGCATCATGAGTATCAGCTGGACGCTTCTGCTCAGATGAAGGGGTACCGGGCGAGCATCATGAGCGTCAGCTGGACCCTTTCACTCAGATGAAGGGGTACCGGGCGAGCATCATGAGCATCAGCCGGACCCTTTTGGTCAGATGAAGGTGCACCGGGCAAACATCATCACCTTTTTTGCTGAGATGAAGGGGTACCGGGCGAGCATCATGAGCATCAGCTGGACCCTTTTGCTCTGATGAAGTGGTACTGGGCGAACATCATGAGGGACCGGGCAAGCATCATGAGCATCAGCTGGACCCTTTTGCTTAGATGACGGCGTGCCGGCTCAGCGTCATGAGCACGAGCTGGATCCTTGTGCTCAAATGAAAAGGCACCGGGCAAGCATCATGATCATCAGCTTGGACTCTTTTGCTGAGATGAAGGTGCACCGGGCGAGCATCATCAGCATCAGCTGGACCTCTTTGCTCCCATGAAGGGATACCCGGCGAGCATCATGAGCATCAGCTGGCCCCTTTTGCTCAGATGAAGGGTGCCGGGCAAGCATCATGAGCATCAGCTGGACTCTTTTGCTCAAATGAAGGGGTACCAGGCGAGCATCATGAGCATCAGTTGGACCCTGTTGCTGACATGGAGGTGTACCGGGCGATCAGGTGAACCCTTGAGGTCAGATGAAGGGGCACGGGCGAGCATTATGAGCATCAGCTGGACCCTTTTGCTCAGATGAAGAGGTGCCGGGCCAGCATCATGAGTGCCAGCTGGACCCTTTCGCGGGTAGCTGGCGAGCATCATGAGCGTCAGCTGCATCCGGTTGCTCAGATGAACGGTTATGGTACACTCATCTCGCCAAACATGTCTGGTGTGAGTTTCCAAAACTTAGGGGAGTGTTGTGGTCTACCGGGGACCTCCCACGTCTGGAAATGCACAGGATGCAGCCCCCGTCCCGTGCTGCGGGCACTCATTCCGCGGGCGCGCTATGAACCTGGAAATGGCACATGCAGTCTCCTCAGGCATCTAAGTAATTACCCACTTCGCGTATACCGAAAAACGAGGCCCCGAAACCGTCATATAACCCCAGTTTCCATGTCATGTTCAATTCCCTTTTTCAATTTGATGTTCCATATTCCTACATATCCATCACGATAAGACATGTGACATGCCCTACATTACACCTATGTAATACAGGGGCCTGAGGAAGTAGCAGGTTGAAGTCTATCCGACGTAAGTGCCCTATACCATAATTACACAAGAACTCTAGAACAATAGTATCCATGTACCCTATATCCCGTTTATAGGTAAGTGTCCATGTAGCCCCCACTTATATATATATATTGAGTATCTTTACACACAGATATACCCAGCTTCCGTTTCATGTTCCTTATCCATTTTCATTTGACTCTCCTTTTATTGGGACAATATCCCCCTACACCCTTAAATCCTAAACTCTATGCCATGTCCATTCTGCTTTCCGGTTGGTTCTCCATGTATTGGTTCCTTGCATTTGCGTCCCAGGTCTTAGGGGTCTGGCTCTGCTTACCTGAAGGTCCCTTTAAAGGGGACACAAGGGCAGTATAGGGTTTAGGGTCAAGGGACTAGGGCCTAGGGACTAGGGTTTAGGGACTAGGGTTAAGGTACTTACTGATTGACATTTCATAGTAATTGGGAACTATTATAACTAGGTCTTATAGCCCTACTGATCATTGACCTACCCAAGTCCCGTTGATGGGATTATGAGCAGTTATAAGTACTTACATCAGTCCCATGAGCCTTCAAGCCTCATAGCTGGGCTAAGTAGGTATGCACTAGTGCTATATAGGGGCTTATATAGGAGAATGTAGGGGTATGTACATAGGGGATCTATGGGCATATACAGGGATATGTAAGGTCAGGATGTAGGCTTCTTGGTATGGAGTTAAGGTAAGCCTGTTACGAGTTGCAAAGCAGTGGGGTTTTTGAATGAAACCATCCGAAACTATAGGCCGTCACCCTCTTATGACTGGGATTTCTTCCTACGGTGGATACTACTAATCCTGCATGATCCGGAGAACCTTATACCTTGGGAATTATGGCATCTTAGCATACTACAACTAAGGTCATGCAGGATTTTTGTCTCAACACTACCCGGCAGCTCGGTACCGGCACGCAGCTGTTTTCAGCCGAGATGTGTCAAGCTGACAGCCGAGATGCCCTCTGCTTGAAACTACTGCCTGCTTGAAAGGCTTATTTTCGGCGGATGTTGTAATGTAGAAGCCTAAATAACGACATCCAAGTAATGTGGTCCTAGATTCTTTGTACACTGTTGGGAACCTGAAATAGACCTTGAAATCATTTTGGGACATATTTGCGTCCCTACAGTATCCAGAGCTTGTTTGGCTCTCGGTGCTAGGCGCTAGAGCTCCCGTTCACTGCGCGCCAGCGGCAGACCGTAGAGACGAGCCGCTGTGTCGTGCACCAAGTTAGTGCGGTCCTTCTACACACCCAAAAGTGCATGTAGGTGTATTGTACATACTCAAGGCCCAAGAAGGTTCCAATCTACCTACTGTGGACCGTTCCAGGGGATATCCTAAACCCTAGACCCTAAACCGTAAGCCCTAAACCCTAAGCCCTAAACCCCATGGGATTTTGTGTGGGGAGCCACTCCTGACACTCCCTCAAAGCAGAAACTGCAACGCTCGGCTGATAAGTTCAGAGGTCTATGGGTCCTAGGTTGGTGGACGGTCATGGCGTGAGAGTTTAGGGTCTAAGGTTGAGGGTTTGGGGTTTAGGGTTTAAGGTGTAAGGTTTGGGGTTTAGAGTTTAGGGTTTAGGGTTTAGGGTCTAGGGTTTAGGGTTTAGTTTAGGGTTAAGGGCAGCTCATGGACCCCGAATCCGAAACCTCTCGTGAGACCTGAGTCAATGGTAGACTGGTAGGTGTATCCCGACCCAACAAGATCTCCTGGGTTCTTACACGGGCCTCCTGGGCCATGAATTGGGACCGCCACCACGGGATCTGAAAATTGATAGATAGATTATGCCTTGTAGCCCCCACCAAACGATCTCGTATGTTTTCCCAAGCCCAAATGCTGGCACGAATCGCACAGAAAAACCTTGATTCTCCAATGAATAGATGGTGCCACTAGGGTTTACAAAGTTTACAATATGCCTCAGTGTCCCCACCACCTCCCAAGCAAGGCTGCCCCTGAAGTACGCTTAATTAATACTAAGTATCCTAGTTAAGGGGAACCCTACGAAAGGGCTAGGGATGCTTAAGCCCTAAACCCCCTAAACCCCCTAAACCCTAAGGGAAATTCTAGCCAAAGCCCTTATATAGAGCTTTCCACCATACTAAGCAAGTCCTCCTCAGACATCTCGGCCCACACTGGCCAGGCTTCCGGAGCCATAACCGCCTCTGAATATGTGGAGTGCTCCGTGGCATACCTGAGCTTCCCTGAGGGTAAGGACCCAAATAATAGTGCTTCAGGGCCCAAAGCTTATGGTATTTGGGCCCTAGAACACTAGTATTTGGGCCATTGGACCCTTAGGGTTCTACATTGAGACCTACAAGGCTTCTGGGCTCTTACATTAAGGCATCCCGGGTTGGGGTTCCCACCAGTTTCTGTGATGTCGAAGTAATAGATACGAAGATTTTTGTTATAGTCGCATGATAGTTATAGGGTCCTTATGCTAGGGGTTGCGATAACTAGGCCCATCATATGAGCCACAGTCTAAACTCCTCGTATGCCCTTTGGTATCCCCGAATTTAGTCCCCGATGTGGTCCCCTATGTAAGCCCCTTTATATTACAGAGTTTAGACCCCTAAACCCTAAACACTAATCCCTAAACCCTTAACCCTATATAACCCCCCTTCAAGGAGTTTAGACTATGGCTCATATTCCCTTGTGCAATATCAGCTCATCGGGTTAAGCCACCCTGCAAGGGTGCAGGAACTATGCCATGAGATCGGACTGTAGGGGCGCTTAACCACAAAAGCTTTATAGGGTTTAGGGGGTTTAAGGGCTTAGGGGTTTAAGGGTTTAGGGGTTTGAGGGTTTGAGGGTTTAAGGGTTTAAGGGTTTAGGGTTTTCGGTTTTAAGGTGTAGGGGACCTGCAATCTCCATGAACTTCCAATGTTCCCAAACGCACCCTCGATTCTGAGATAGGGTCTGCTCCCCGCGCAATCAAAGACACATAGACGTGCATCGTAAAGTAGACCCCTACATAATCCCTACATAAAGATTTGGGGTTACGGGTTTACCTATATAATACCAGAGAATCCCTACACACCCCCTTTGATGCCCTAGGAACAACATGTGCGCGCACCAGAGCCCCAACAAAACCTAAGTTAAGTAAACTCTTGGACGTTGACAGTCTTACAGACACTCTGCATATTCAAAATACCCCGGCGCATCCTTGAGTGATCCTGAACTCCTGCAAAAACAAACCTCAAGGGCTTAGGGCTTAGGGCGTAGGGTTTGGGGTTTAGGGCTCAGGGTTGCGGGCTTAAGGTTTGCGTGTTTAGGATTTGGACTTTAAATCTTAAATTTAAAAAATGCCCTCTGGGCTTAAAACAAACCCTAAGGGTCCAATGACCCAAATAATAGGGTTTTAGGGCCCAACTACTATCATATTTATGGTACTTGGGCCCTAAAACCCTATTATTTGGGTCCTTGGACCCTTAGTAAGAGTTTAAGGACTCCAAGGGACGGGAAGTCAGATCCCCACAGCAGTCGAGCAGAGCCGAACGTCGACAAAAGCTGCCTTTTTCGTTCTTAGGCTTCTCAGCCAGGTTTCAGCACTACTTTGAGGTTTAGGGTTTAAGGGTCTGGTGTTTAAATTCCCAAAAAGGGTCCTAAACCCCAAAGCCTAGACCCTCGAAGCGGCAGCAAGTACCCATAGTCACGCGTAAAATTGCTACTTACATTCTCTACTCGAAGGCTCATGAGACCTAAGAACTACTTGACACTCGGCACATGGCCCTGCTTATCATTGGGGTTACCTACAGGGGGCTAGGGTCATAAGCCCAGTTTGAAGGAGTTACTATGTCCTAGGAACCTCCAAGTAGCACCTAGCCGGCCTTGTATAGAGGTTTGGGGCTTAGCGTTAGGTTGCTTGGCTCCTGTCTAAATGATTACATATGGATGCAAGCATGTGTACGAAGTAGATTCTAGAGCTCAAGATAAGGAGGATTCTCAACACAACAGACAACATCATCTTTAGTAGGACCCCCACAATTTTCCTGCACCCCCCATGTATCCCTAGAATTCAAAAAAGCACCCCTGTTTGCAGAACCCTCCCCAAATCTTAGACTCTAATCTCTAAACCCTACATATCCCTATGAAACCCTACATAACCTCTGCGCAGCTCTTTAAAGGGAGCAACCCTACTTTGTCCTGTAAAGCCCCTACGCACCCCTTTCACGGAAACGAGCAATGCGACATCTCAGGGATTCTGAATATCACGGCTCTCTTCTAAGGAAGGAAGAGGGGAGATAGATATAAGGGACAGGGGTAGGTATATACGGCTTAGGGGTGGGGGAATGGAGGGTTTCAACGGGAATCTAGCGTTTAGGGTTTACCACTATGGGCTATTAGACCTTTTGGGTACCTTAATCTACCCTTATTAAGGTCCTAATAGGGAATTTTAGGGTCTAATAGCCCATAATGGTAGGAGTTGAGGGCATGGGTTTTCCAACAGAGAGGAGCCGCTCTTTTGGGAGGTTTCCATCGCAGGAACTGCAATCTTTCTTGTTGAGGCGAGATTCCAAGTTTGCTTTTCATTAAGTTTACCCTAAAGGTCCAAGGACCCAAATAATAGGGTTTTAGGTTCAAATACTATAGTTGTAATGGTATTTGGGCCCTAAAACCCTATTATTTGGGTCCTTGGACCCTTAGGGTTTAGGGCTCAGGAGTTGGACTTGAATTTCCATAATGTGGGCCTTAAGAAAAGGTGTTCTGATCATAGTACCGGAATCTAAGCACCTTCACAGCTACCCAGATTACAGCAACCAGCTTAGCACGAGTTTCCCTTTGGAACACACCTCCAAAATGTAAGGCCTTAGCGCAACAGCAATGTGAAGCTCCAAGCATGCAACCCCGTAGAGGTGGAGCCCCTAAACACTAAACCCTAACCCCCTAGTTACAAGTGTCTACAAAGGGGAGAGTAGTGCTATGGCTATAAGAGCATGATGAAGTTCTGCCTGATACTGAATCACATTACATACGCGGAAAAAAAAACGTTCTTAGGAGGGTGTCCCACTATTAGCGGAGGGGGCGCATTAAATGCTTAAGGCTGATGCGCCTAAACCCTAAACCCTACAGCCAAAACCTTGAACCCTCCCCCCTAAACCCTGAATCCTAAACCCTAGAAACCCTGACAACCTCATGCGACTCTTCGGCGTTTTCCGAAACTGGGGTCTCTGCAACCCATAAGGTTTCTGGATGGTCGTACCCTAACACGGCTTCCCCAATATGGCCTTAAAAAAAGCCCTGATGTGAACCAACGTAGTCCCCTAAGTCCCTTTACAACCCTAGGGGTGCAAGCCTGTAACCCTTGAAATCCTCCCCAAAAATCCCTAAGAGCCCCACATTTACGAAAGAAATCTGTCTCTTTTTTTTGCTTAGGGGCCTTAGGGTTTAGGGTCCGAATACCCAAAACTAGAATGGGTGGCTGCCAAGGAACTTCAAAGCAGTCACCATGATGCCTAAACCCTAAACCCTAAACCCTGAACCCTAAACCCTAAACCCTAAACCCCTAAACCCTAAACCCTAAACCCTGTGGCTTTTTATGCAAGATTTTTACCCCGAGCCCTGAGCCCTACATGACGATGACGACTCAAGGTAGGTTCTTTAGCAGCCTGAATAAACCCTACATAGCCCCGGTGTCCATTTACTTGTTCCATGTTCTAATCCATTGGAGTCTTTATTCTGGCAACCTAACTTAACTGAAGCTCCTTAGCCTGTTGCTCAACATGGCCCGAGGTCGATTTCGGTTTAGGCTTTAGGGTCCAAAATAGGTAGGACTCAGCGTCAAGCACCTTAACAACCCCAAACCAAAACCCTTAAACCCTAAACCCCCAAATCCTAAACACCTAAACCCCTAAACGCTACATCATGGTACGCTAAACCCCCCTAAACCCGAAATCAACCAGTAAAGCTCCAAAATACGATGCTCCGCCGCGCGGCTTCAAACGCTCCGAAAGCTCTGGGAAGGGGCTCGTCTCCGTAGACACGCGGAAAAGTCTGGGTGATTTCAGGGGGCTGCAGGAGGGGAGGTGCCATGTAGGGACCTTACATGTAATTTACAAGAATAAAAGACAATAAAGAATAATACAATGTAGTATCATAGCATAGAATAGTCTGAAACAGTATATGCATAAATTTGTACTGCTTCATTTACTTATATTCATTTATTCATCTGCTTTATATTTCCCTCGTATTACTCCCCATCAACCCTATATATCTCGTCTATAAACCCCGTATATACACTCCCACCATGGGAAATTCATAACTTGTAGTTAGTACTAGCCTGGGGTTTACGATTTAGGGTGTGGGATTTGGCGTTTAGGCGTCTAGGGACGATTCATATGGGCTTCGGAGAGTCATGAGTGCTTTGTCTTGAGAGCTCCCGAGAATAAGCAGGATTTGCGACCCTAAACCCTGAAACAACTATTTTGGGATCTAACATTTGGAAACTTGGACCGCATACTGCTGCACCTAGAACAGTTCCCTACTTTTGCTAGTGAAACAGCCAAAAATATAATGTCGTGAAATTACTATATGAGCTACAGTTAAGATTTCCTACATAATTGAATGGACATGGGTTCCCGTTTAGGGACTACATTGAGGACTATACTAGACTACAAGAGGGACCCCTACGTCCACTGTCCAAGGCCCCTTAATAGGGCTAATTTTGACAGTAGCTCATATGGCTATAGTCAGCCTTCAAATTGCGTACCTGCAAGGGGAAGGCTGCAAGCTTGCCTGCTGGAACTGGAAAATTCTGCCAGAGAAATACTAGCCAGCAGAACATCCACGAAGGCCTCTGAACAGAGAGCGGGTAGTTTCCAGAAATACGAGGGGGACTGAATATCGAGCCACAAATACGGTATTCCACATTTCAGGAAACCCCTAACTTCTAGAAAGTCCCAGATGGAGCCTGAACTGCCTCAACTGAAACCCTGAACCCCTAAGCACTGTGAGGTAAGTAGCGCGGAGATCTTCACGTGGACCTGCGGAAAAGATTGGGTACTGCCCCCCCGTCAGTAACAGTTGGATAATGATTATGATATAGTTCTATATAGCCCTTCATAGGACCCTAATATAGACTGTTACTAAAAACACTAGAACCCCTATAATCCCCTATAGAATCCAAGTTTCCATTTCATTTTCCATTTTCTTTTCCATTTGATTCTCCATTATTAAGGGGGATACTAGGACTGTTACTGGGGGGAGGGCAGTACCCAAGGAAAAGACGAGCTTCGGGTTGGTGGTTTGAGGTTTTGGGATTAGGCGGGTTTAGGGTTCAAGGGCTGCAGGGGCCAAAATAATTACCATTGAGGTTACACGAGGATTATATGGGGTTTATGTAGGGGTACAGAGGGGTACACTACAAACCGCGCAAACCCAATCGGCAGCTTCAAAGCCTAAACCCTAAACCCTAAATCCGAAACCCTAAACCTTCTCTACCTATATATATTTAACCTTGAATAGGGCCGTGCATTTATTTTGGTTGATTAGGATTTAAGGTGCTGGGGTTTAGAGCGCTGGCCTACACATATTTAATCCTTAATAGGCCAGTGCAGTGATTTTATCTGCCTAGGATTTAGGATTTAGGGTGCTTGGGTGTTAGGGTTTAGGGTACTAGGATTTAGGGCGCCAGGGTTTAGGGTGCTAGGATTTAATGTGTTCCGGTACAATAACCAAAACCACCAAATCTGAGCTAGGATTTGGGTCCAGCTGGGCGAGATAGGTTTAGAGCGCTGACCTATATATGTTTAAACCTTAATAGGCCAATGTAGTGATTTCGTCTGCTTAGGATTTAAGGTGCTAGGCTGTTAGGGTTTAGGGTGCTAGGATTTAAGGTGCTAGGGTTTAGGGTGCTAGGATTTAAGGTGCTAGGGTCTAGGGTGCTAGGGTTTTGGGGTGCTAGGGCGCTAGGGTTTAGGGTGCTAGGATTTAGGGTGTTCCGGTGCAATAACCAAAGCCATCAAATCTGAGCTAAGATTTGGGTCCAGCTGGGCGAGATATACACAAAACAGGATTAAAGGCTGTTGGGAATTTTCTGAATTGACGCAGGCAGGTGGCGAGCGAGGGGAAAAAGTGGTAAAATGTTAAATGAAAAGGGATTCTGGGAGGGTGGGGTGATACCAAATACGTGTAATGACGAAACAAGCCTTGCTAGCTTCCAGCTCTAGCTACTCGTGAACACTAAACCCTAAACCCTAAATCCTAAAGCCTAAATCCCAAACTCTAAACCCTAAATCCTAAACCCTAAATCCTACTTAACCTTGAAGAGGTCAAGCTTCACCTCGCAGTGTCTTCATACAAGAAAATTGCTTACTGTAAACGGACTTTAATGGGAACCCCAAACAGGGAACCCCAAGAATATAGTAGGAATATAATTGAATATAAGGACCCTGGTGGGTGAATTCCATATATATCCTAAACCCTAAACCCTAAACCCTAAACCACTACTTGGGGTTCCCTGGGTTAGGGTTTAGAGGGGCGCGCTCGCAGGGGGAGGCAATGAGTGGCGCAGCTAAATCCCAGGATTTCAAACAAAAGGGTGGGGTTTAGGGTTTAGGGTTTAGGGTTTAGGGTTTAGGGGTGACCACAATCAAGGCTAAGAAGCGGATCTCCAAATGCTACGAAACTCTACTTGAAGGTTCATGGGAGGAGCGTAGCTACTTATATCTGAGCTCATAACCTCTTTTAAGGAGGGGTGGATTAAAGCTAATTCAAGGGGAACCTGGGGCGAGGGTAGTATAGGCGTGGCGCATAGGGTAGGGTAGTAGGGCGGCCCATGCGGCCTGTTGCATAGAACCTAAAAGGACACCTGCGGGTCAAGCGTAAGCATCAGAAAGTTAGGGTTTAGGGTTTAAAAGGTTTAGGGCTCATACTATAAAACCACAAGCCACCGTAAAACCTAAACATCGATTCAGGAACTCACGACATCTTGCAACACTTAGGATGCCAAACATTCCGCGATTGCCCTTCTTGGGGGGCAATGTAGGATGTAGGGTCCCCGCCATCCACAGAATGGCTCCCACCCTCCCCCTCACCATGAGCCAAAGGGCCTTCCATAAGGGTTTAGGGTTTAGGGTTAGGGTCTAGAGTCTA